TTCGTTAATCGAAATTACGTTAAACGAGGGGTCACTGTACTGTAAACAGTTTACTATTGTGCAAACCCAACAGAAAAAATAACAGAAATGGAGACACCAAAAATGTAAAAAAAAAAAATGCTGTGTCTGACTTGCAACACTGTTGGTAGGGTCAGGTGGTTCTAACGGCATCCTGCCAGTACCCGGTAATCAAATTTACAACAGTGTCTAACCTCAAGTACTGTAGTTTATCTGATGTAGGCAATATGAAGTAGAAAATACCAGTTAAAGTGAGAAATTGGAAGAGAATAAACAAGAAAGATGTTGTTGGGCTATTTTTGGTAGGGCTGAGGGAGAGAGTACCAGCTGTTTGGTCTTTTTTGGCAGGAGAGTCACGCAAATATCCGTACTGGTATTTGTTTGGTGTCTTCTGTATTTTTAAAAATGAATACTTGTACATTAAAAGTACCGTAACATTGTATTATACAGTCAACCCTCGCTTTACGCGGTTAATATAACCCACAGGGTACCGCGGAAAGTGAGAAACGCGTAAAGTGAACAATATAACATATGGGATTAATTGAAATAGAGACCGGGCCGACCCCCAAACTCCACTTTTTGACGACACACAACTATGTTGTAGTAAAAATTTTATCTTAACTTTATGATGGTATGCACACACAATTAATAATTAAGAGAAACATCAATAATATTAGGTTTTTTAACACTTACATTAGTGGAAAAGATGGCTGGGCACACAGGGATGGGCGGTTGGTTCCGAGGCAGAGGGCAGATTATTGGCCCTCACCTGTAACACTTGTATCACTATCCACCACAGAGGCTTGCAGGGCCTCTTTGTCAAACCCCTCAAAGTCCATATAAGTCCATATCCTCACTATAATTATCACTATCAATGACTTGGGCCGGCTGTGGTGGGTGGCGGGTGAAGAACTCGGTAATGTTTTGATGACTGGGCGACCTTGTGCGCACCATGCTCGCGCCGCTTACACAACATGGCGGGAGGTTTGGATCCAAAAATGGCGCGGCTCTCCGCGTAAAGGGGTACACGCACCGCGGAATGTGAGCATTCCTGTTTCGGCAGGGTACCGCGTAAACGTGGAAACGCAGAATGTGGGACCGCTTAAAGCAAGGGTTGACTGTATACAAATTTGTCATATTTCTGGAAAATAAGAATTACCGGTAAACACAATTTTAACGTATGCTAAAATTAAAATGTTTTTCGAATCGTTTTCAGTTAAAAAACTGTTACATCACAAGTGAATTACGATAGAATATTATTGTAATACAATAGTTTTTTAACTGAAAACCATTCAAAAAGCAATTACGGTAACATCTTTTGAATGAAAGAAAGCGAAAGTCATTGTTTTCGTCATGATTTTATCCCACTTTCCACTGTAATACGTACATTATGTCATTTCAGCAAAAATATTACATTTCCATATTCTCAGAAATAAATAGTAGTTTTGCTGAAACTTGATGTATTTCAATGTAAATTTGGATAAACTACATGCCGAAAACAAAAGACTTTACCTAACCTTCCGATGTTCAAGAGATGTTACTCGTTTTTTTAATAGTTTTCTGTTAAAATACTGTTATATTAGTGATATTCTATTCATACTGTGCTTGATATAATACATTCACGGAAATGTAATATTTTTGCTGAAATGACGTACGTATTACAGTGGAAAATGGGATAAAATCATGACGAAAACAATGACTTTTGCTTTCTTTCGTTCAAAAGATGTTATCGTAATAGCTTTTCGAATAGTTTTCAGTTAAAAAACTGTTGTATTACAATAATATTCCCTCCTAATTGACTTGAATAAATACTTGAATGGAAATATACAATATTTTTGTTGAAACTACCCGCGTTTCAGTGTAAAGTGTCGTAATAATAAATGGTAAACAATTTGCCTTCGGCACTCGGTGTTTCAGGCACGGCGAGCCTCAGTTTATAGGACGTAGAGCGTTTTTACTGAAGGTTTTGTTGTTCCATTACCTTCAAAAACTTGGGTTGACCTATAAACGAGGAATATCATAAATTAATGATTTCTTGGTCCAAAAAATCAGGGTCGACCTATAAACGAGGGAGGATTATAGACGAGTATATACGGTACCTGTATTTAAATAATTTTAACCCATTTCTTAAAACCATCTAGTATCCCCTTTAAATATACTACGTACTCTACAAGATTCAGACTGAGAGAATGAGACATGTACCACATGCCACCCAAGTACAGACGTTCAACTGCATGCTGGATTTTCAACTTTTTAAAAAATATTTCTGGTGAATATGGGAGTGGTCCAGTGCAACTCAGCGAGTCTGAAAAAAGCGAATTCCGATATACTGGTCTGATTTATCGAGGTTCTGCTGTATCAACTTATGTTTTATGTATTACTTGGTTACCTTGTTATTCCAACTTAATGTTGAACTTTGTCATTAAAAATAGTATAAAACTTAGTAAAACAAATACATGGAGATGGTATTTGTTTTGAAAACTGTTAATCTTTAAATATTAAAGCTCAGATTTGGCAAAATAAACCCTGAATACTCGGTGTTGTAACTTTTTAAATTATTTTCACTACATGGCATTATTTTAAGTAATGTTTATAAATATAATTTACCATAAAGAGCAATACACTAAAAAAGTTATTATTTCCTTATTGGCACATTTTATGTAGGTGAACTGAACATCATGTAATGTTACAATATGTTTCACACTAATAATGTTACATATGTTTTATGACTAGTTGAAAAACTCTACAATTACCCAAGATTGAGTTTATGGAAACTGCCACAACTCCACCCTTACTCCTTTCTAAAACATACAACTGTAAGTGACAATAAGATTTTGGTGACTGAGTAATGAGTAGTAAGAGCGAACACTGACAATTTCTATGACATTCAGTAAATATAATTACTCAACATAAGAATAAAAAAAAGAAAGCATATACAGTATTATATACAGCATATATTATAAATATCCATTAAAAATGATACTCACGTATTTTTTATTACTTTGTATTGAACTTCCTTGTATTTCTAAACTTTAATTATTCTTTGGCTTTAAGAATCTTCCAGGATGTGTGGCAAACCCTGCTCATCTTGACAGAACACCAACTGAATAACTAATACTGTACACCAAACTGTAACAGACCAACATCAATTATACCCACTTTTGTAAGTAATTCCCAGTCCAGACATTGATTTTAACAATGGTTTAATGCATGTATGACCTTGATGTACAAATGACATGATGAAATATCTTGTGCTGTCAAGATTGTAGTGCTATATGGTAGTACTGGTATGGCCTACTGGTCTTCATAGCACAAATAGGCATTGCATAGGGAGAAAATATCCTCGGGAGAATTTATTTAAAATTTGTAAACTTTTTCATTTACCAAGACAATAAAAATGGTTCTTATTGTGTCCTTTACAAATAATTATTCAATTGAAACGAACTTTTAAATATAATTTTTTACATCCTTAGTGTATGAACTTTCTCAAATTCTCGGAAAACAACCTGTAAGAATTCTCTGGAAAGTGAATCACACCTACAGATATGCAGAGGTGTGGCCAGGAAATGTAATGAAAATTGGTAGCATTTTTCACCTTTTGAAGATGCCCAAGTGTTCTTTTCCCCATGCATTGCCAAACTAGTACTTTTATTAGTGCTTATATTATTGCCTTCAAAGACTATTATACATGCAAGTTTTGTATTTTTTTTACAAAATCCTGTCTAACATTATTGAATGGCAACCTTCTTTTGATCCGGAACATAATAAGGTTTCCATAATTATAATATACTGTACTGTACAAGTTTAAACTTTCTAATTAAAAAAAAAAACATTTCATAGAAAATATATCCTCACTTATTTAAAGACTACACTATAGTTTATATCCATTTTTTTTTAGAAAAATAAATATGTCAAGTGCTTCAAATTTTACAAATAACCTTCCAACAGTTTTGTGACAAAAATAATTATTAGGTGTCTGGCATTTCATCAAGCCATGGTGAGTATTACTGGGGTAGGTTCTATGACTGCAAATTACAATAAATTGTAGGTTTTGAACAGACATACTACAAAACTTAAGGGCTCACACACCTTTTATGATTCTTGTCGACTCATCTTACTTAAATTAACATTTGATGTGTATTACAAAATATTATTTTGAAAATAAGGTTAAACTGCATTGAAAAATACAAGACATTTTTAAAAAGATTTGGTGTCTTTTACTGCAAATGGGCAGACATTTTACAACTTATTACAGTTAAACTTAATGCCTGTGCATGTTAATTCGGTCTCCAATCAAGGGATGTCATCCTCAGGGGCAGAAGAGTTAGTTTTCCATATCCTTGGCAAGACATATGTGACCCATACTGCAAATAACAGTAAACATTTATTTTTCCATCAATAAACCACTTTATCTAATAATCATTGTATGCCCAACATAAAGCAAAACTTATGCTCAGCCTCATGACACTGGCTATATTTCAAATAACTCAAAAACTATTCGGCGAAAATGTCTGATCTTTGGATGCCATTTGACAGACGTTGTTTTCTGTGTGGGCCATATCACCTTCCCCTAGATGGTCTTGGTCATCGTGTGCATGGCAGGGCAGCATGAAGCCAGTGTCACTCTGGCTATTAGAGCAAGAGGAGGGTGCGCTGTTCGGCCCTTTAATTATAATTGTAACCGCCCAATGAGCGACTGTGGGATAGCGAGACCCTTGCACGTAGGACTCGATTGTTCTTTATTCGGTCAAAACCTGCAGAGTACAAATTATATATGTTACATATGAGATAATTAATTAATTCGTACGTTTCTTCACTATTAACAACTACATATGATATACCTGTATTTAAGTAGAGTGGGGTGTTAAACCATATAAAAACTTACGTGTTTCGGGTCTAATGTAGAACTTATTAGCTCACTGGACGGCTAGAGACTATCTTCTGAATGAACCCCACAGGGAGCGAGTCAGCCCGAGGCGAGGGCCATCTGTTTCACATTTAACACCTCAGCAAAGTTTGTTGTCAGCACTCTGTCTCTCTCCTGTCTCCCTTTCTCTATCCCTCTCTCTTCTAGTTTATCCTACTGTGGTGGTAACACTCCCCCTGTTGAGCTTGCTCGAAACCCATTGTCTGCCGGGAGTCTCACTCTCCGACTCCCTCCAATAGGCAGAGCTTTGTCACTGGACGTATTAACACTAGTCCTTCGTCTTCACTTTGGCACACCGCACCAGGCCGTCTTCACCCGGTACCGCCTCCAATACCCTTCCTAGCATCCATTTGCTCCTTGGGAGAGGATGTCCAGATATGATGACGATGTCTCCAGTGCTTCTGTCGCCGCCGGAGTGTCGGGAGATATTCCTTCACCCACCTCTTCCAGAATTGGTCTGCAACGAATTGGGCATGCTTTCATTTTCGTCGGTACACTTCTGCTATGGACTGATCGCCTCCAGTGGGCAGGGTACCCACGTGCATTCGCAGAAGGTGAAGCAGTGTGAGTGCTTTTAGGTCTCTCGAGTCGTCGGATACTGTTGCGACCTGTGATCACTGTTGTATTCATTTTTCTCCTTATCTCCCCGACCTTGACATTTAATATGGGGAGTGCAACTCTGCCTGGATCTGCTAGTCATATGTCGTAATCTTCGGGCCCCTCGCACTGGCTATTTTCTCGATCGTAAGTATCTCTGGCCCATTTATACAGGTTTTCTCAGTTCGTGGTTACCAGTGCAACCTCCCTGTTTCCAGCCCTTTTCTCCGTAACTCTCAAGCTGGATTCGGGTTTCCATGGCCTAGCTCCACTGGTCGTTGATTTCGGTGCCGACATGATGGTTCGTCCTGGTTTGGCGTGTTATTGCACATAGAATTTCTCGAGAAGTGCAGGAGATTCGAGTGGAAGCTATAGCAGCCATCTATGCCGCACCTTGTCTTCTGGATGCACTCGGCCATCCGGTGAGCACTATCTAAGCAGTTGAAACAGTGACATTCTTCACGTACGAGTGAAGTTCGCGCTCCAGTCGACATGTTGAGGAATACTTGGCATCTCTGCAGAGGGTGATATCCAGGGCACATCGGGGAAGTGCGGTTGTCCTTTCCTCTAACCTCCTCTCTTTCCGAAGTCACTAGGCCCACAGGTCTCTTTTCTGATAAGGAAGGGTATGGGTGTGAGCCTGTTCATCTCCCGCTCGGCTCTACTTGTTTTCGTCTCCTCGAAGCCCTCCTTGTCCTGTCCAGCATCTCAAGTACAAAATCCTTCATTCACTCGACCTTTGGAGAATTCCCGTGTCTCCTTTCATAGTCATATGCTCTATCCTCGTATCGCAACCTGATCTTTCCCGTGAATCTTTTAGCCAAAGTATTCAGTGATTCGTACGTGTCAATTTCGTGCAGTTTTCCCTGTACCTTTAAGTTGTTTATGCAATTTCCCAGATCGTCCGTGAGCTCCTGAAGTCCTTTAATGCCATCTGTTCTCACGGCTGGACCATGTAGGACCTTGCCTTTCAGTTCTTGGATGTAGGCTTGCTTGTTGCCATAACGCTCTTCCAGCAAGGCTAGAGCTTGTTCATATCCTGCCCTGGGTCTTCTATTTGCAGGCACCCTCTTAGGGATTTCTTAGCGCAGCCAGTGTAGAGGCCGAGAGAAGCGTTTCCAATTTTAGTGCATATGGGCGCCTTCCCAATGTGTCTTTGGAAGGTATGCGTTTACTCCCAATACTCGTCACAAGTCCTTCCGCTGAACCTCAGCATCGGCCTCTGGGGAAACCTCATAGTGGCCATTAACTCTTCCAGTCTCTGGGTTGGTAGCATCGTGTCCGATGGCCTCCCTTCCATCTGTCCTGGGCGTTCTCGCTGTATATCTTGTACTTGGTTTTCCATCTCCTGGGTTCCTGTTAGTGTCACTGCTTCCGGAAAGTGGGTATGACGGGTGGAAACATGTTCCCTCTCCCCCTGATGAGATGTTCCTGACTCTGAGGCACTGAGTGTTGGGAACCCTCCTTGGGTGGGTGTCAAGGTGTAGCAGCTAGACACCCTTGGTTCTGGCGGTTGACAACGTGTCTCGTGGATACCTCGTCGCAGCTGTCATACCCTCACTCGTTTCCTGAAAAGGCCTTCCTCCTGGTACTGACAGCATCTCACCAAAGTCCTCTGTATTGCCTAATGTCTGCAGTTGCTCCATATGATCCTTCATATTCTGCATTATTGCCGTCAATTGGGTGAGCGTCCGCTGATAACCCCGATTACCCTATTCATCCGGCCTGTTGGTGTCATCCTTCTCTCGGGTGAAAGGGTTTCTTCACTTCGCCCTGGCTGTGTGAGTGACCGGTTAGCATCTCCGTTGTTCAAGGCCTCCAGGTCTTCTACTCTGGCTAGGCTTACCTCCTCTGCCTTGTTCACTTCTATGACTGGTGGCACAGTTATAGAGACGTTCGGTTAAGCGGGAATGCTCTTCAACTGACATGTCTGCTCGTTTATAACGATGTCATATAACTGAGGTCATACAAGTGAAGAACTGAAGTTATATAAGTGATGTCATACAAGCGATGTCATACAACTGAAGCCGTACAAGTGATGTCATACAACTGAAGTCATACAAGCGATGTCATACAAACGCATGCAATAAACCCAAGCGATGTCACACTAACATGACAACAGAGGCACCAAAATCAGTGTAGGAATTCATTACACAACTGCTAAGTTCATAAAACTGATGCCACAAACACTCCTGCGCCCTTACTCACAACGTTACTTAACTGTCACTATTACTATTTTCCAATAGAAAGGACAACTCACTAGTTCTTAAATTTTATTTACAATTGGCGATCCAGTCTGGCTGTATGCTTTGAACACTATCTCTCCCGCATGTACGCACGAATAATATTGGCACAGAGTCCACTCCTTCCTGACACTCAGTCCTCGCGGCAGGCAGCATGCCTGTCCAAAATGATCAATAACACTCCCACGCGCCCGTACGAACAATTTTGGCACAGAGACCAGTCCTTTCCAACACTGAACGCACATACAGAGGTGTCACACTTCTCTACGTGTGTTATAGACGTTGAGTGCTATACACACACTCAACCCACAACCCCCTTTTTTGCTGGGGTTAACTATTATTATATTATAGGCATCCCAATTTAGTCGATGATTCACACAGAGGCATCCCCGGTCTCCTGCTGCGTAGCTGCGGGGTGTGTCGGGTGTCGGAGGGAAGGGCCCCGCTGAAGGTCCGTCGACGGCCGAGTCACTCGTCAGTTCTCTGTAGACTGTATCGGCAGACTGTAGGACCCACGTTTTGACTGTAACCGCCCAATGAGCGACTGTGGGATAGCGAGACCCTTGCATGTAGGATTCGACTGTTCTTTATTCGGTCAAAACCTGCAGAGTACAAATTACATATGTTACATACGAGATAATTAATTCATTCGTACGTTCCTTCACTATTAACAACTACATATGATATATTTGACTAGAGTGGGGTGTTAAACCATATAAAAACTTGCATGTTTCAGGTCTAATGTAGGACATATTAGCTCCCTGACTTGTTAGCTCACTGGACGGCTAGAGACTATCTTCTGAACCCCACAGGGAGTGAGTCAGTCCGAGGCGAGGGCTATCTGTTTCACATTTAACACCTCAGCAAAGTTTGTTGTCAACACTCTGTCTCTCTCCTGTCTCCCTTTCTCTATCCCTCTCTCTTCTAGTTTATCCTATTGTGGCGGTAACAATAATTATTCCACGAGTTTTGTGTTGTATTATTTCTCCTTATACCACGATATTCTACAAGCTTTGTTCTATAATACATATCAAGGAAAATATGAATGGAAATCGAGATGTTACTAAACATTTTCCTACCTTTTCAACTTATACTAGAAAAAAGTGGCTTAAATTTCATTAATTTTAATTTTTTATGGTTTCATACAATTTTTCAGACAATTTTATGCTAGAAGAGACCCCATTACAATTAATAAAACAATTCCATGGCAGTGAAATGAGCCCTAAAAAACCTTAATCTTAGAAAGATTACAAGAAAACTTAGCCATGGCTAGCCCTAAAAAACCTTAATCTTAGAAAGATTACAAGAAAACTTAGTTACTATTGCATTATGGTTGCAAATTTATTATTTATATTATGGTTAATACAGGTTGGATATCCCTTATCTGAAATTCACAAATCCCCATTTTAGGGTAATCAGACGTTCTATCGGGTAAAACTTAGGGTTGCAAAAATTTGGTAAAATCTAGGGCAATGAAAGATTCTTGGGGTATTTTACTCATATTTTAGGATAATTACTTTATAATAGTAAGAAAATTAATGTTAATGTACTTTCACATTAAACTGATTGGTTGTTTCTTAAATTCTTGTAACAATTCCGCTTCCATACAACCTAGGCAAGTCTCCCATAAATACGAAAAAGTATATGTTATCTTTTATCATGTTACTATGCTGTACTCTCACTTTTAGGAAACATCCTTAGACTGGTATTTAGGATAATTTTAAAGTACAATGTTATATATTAAATCTTCTATTATATATATTCACATAATGTTCTGGTTTCTTGATACTTTTTTAACAGCAATATTCCAATACATCTTGGTTGGCACATTTTTTCACGTATTTGCGCAGTAAGTATTAATTATTTGCATATGAAAACCATCAATACTGTATATGTAGTAATATATGGTTAAAAAAAATATTTTTTTGTCATTATCCTCAAGAATTAGCTAGAAAGTATTTAAGCTGTCATTACTTGTCTCTGTTGATTTAGAGATTGTGGAAATATTTGGCATATCTTGTTAAAGGAGGTATTATATACTTTTATTTTCATCACCACTGATCAGCTCGTTAGCCGCTTGGACAATCAATCATGTCTCTGTTATGCACTGTTGGCAAGTACTGGGCATGCAATGGTCAAGTTTGGTCTTGAAACAGCTCATACTCGGTGCTGTCACAACACTCTCTGGCAGCTTGTTCCAGGAGTTTACAACTCACTGTAAAAAAGTTTGCCCACACTGTTTTCTGGACTTGCTGCTTCTTCAACCTTGAGCTGTGACCCCTTGTGGGACGAGCGTCCGCCAGCTCCAGGTAAGAACACTCGACTGAGAAGTGCCCTTTGAGATGTTTATACACCTCAATTAGGTTCCCCCTTGCTCGTCTGTAGTATAAGCTAGGCAATTGCAGACGTTCTAATCTCTCTGGGTAGCTGAGGTGCCGAAGTGCCAGCACCAGTCTGGTGGCCCTCCTTTGAACATTTTCAATCAACTGACAATCCCTAGCATACCCGAGGGACCAGATGGGGAAGCACCTTGCTCTTGAATATCATTACAAGGGATGGACTGTCAAGATATCTTAACGACCTTCTTATAAGACCCAACAATTTTGTTGCTTGGTTCACCTTCTCACAATGGCCCAAGAACTTCAGTTCATTGTTAACTTACACACCTAGGTCATTTTCGTATTCAGTCTCAATTAATGCAGTTTCTTCGTCCCATTGAGACATATGATATGCCTCCTTACCATTGGTATGCCCCAGGTGCATCCTCTTGCACTTCATGACATTGAATCCTAGCAGCCATTTCTTCAACCATTCTTGAAGCCACAGAGATATTTCCACAGCTCTTCACATCTGTTTGGTTCTTAATTTCCGTAAATAACTTGGCATCATCCACAAGCATTTGTATGGAGGAGTGTATAGCTTCTGGCATGTCATTTATGAAGCAAACCAACAAATGCAGTCTCAATATACTGCCCTGTGGTACCCTGCTTGTCATGGGTACACATGACAATTTTGTGCCATTTATCACCACACACTGCTTGAGATCATTGAGAAAGTCTCCGATCCGTGCCAAGACACTTCCCCAAATCCTGTACCCTTCTAGTTTAACTTTTAGTGTTTCATTGGGGTAGGCTGTCGAAAGCCTTGGCAAAATCTAGATATATATATCGTCGATATTGCTACCCTGTTCCAGAATTCAGGTCCAAACATCCAGTACCTTGAGTAATTGTGTTAAACAGGAGCGTCCCGGCATAAAACCGTGTTGGCAACCCTTTACAAGGTTGTTTCTTAGTAGATGTTCCATCATGGCATCTCTTATAATGCTCTCAAGTACATTACATACTATGCTGGGCTGCTCAGGCTCACTGGTCTATATTTATTCATGGTGTGTCGATCGCCCTTTTTAAAAATAAGAATCACACATAAGCCATTTTCCAATCACTGGGGACCTTTTGCTCATCCAGGGATTTACAGAACAGGATCTTCAGGGGCTCAGCAAGTTTGTTGCACAACTCTCTCAGCACTCTGGAATGCACCTTGTCAGGGCAGGGGCTCTTATGAACCTATAGCTTTGACAATTTATTTCTTATAACCTCTTCTGAGAATACAATATGGGTCAGCACTGTGTCAAACCGTCTGTCCTAAAACGCAGGAACATTGTTCGCATCCTCCCCTGTGAACACCGAGGAAAATAAACTGTTCAACGCTTCTTCTTTGTCTTGGCCAGAGTCTGTGTAACTACAGTAAAACCTCGATTAACCGCCCACATATGGGGGGAAGTGGCCGACGGATAATAAATAAGGTCGGTTAATAGTAAATAAAGTCTACGGAAATAGAACATACATTTTTAAAGTACCTATCCCTAACCTACCTTATTTAAGTCCCTCTATTCATTTTTGTTCATTTGCCATTCATATTTCAATAGCATTTGCTTTAAAACATTAACAATTTTAGTAAATAAATATGAACCAGCACAGAAACCGTGAATAAAAAAAGGAAAAGTCAAAGAACACGAAAATTGTGACCAAGTCCCAGGTGCTCATCTGACTTCTGCCTCATTTACACACAATTGCAGGGGTCTCAATTATTTCTCTTACTATTGACAACACAACATACATATATTGTTTCTAACTAGATTTTTTTTAATTTTTGCATTTCTATATGGTTCTTTATCATTATTACTATTATTATTACATTTTTGCCCTCCAGGCCACGATGTGGGTCAGTGACCTGCGTCCGGGGGGGGGGGTATAATTCCCGTTTAAAAAAAAAAAATATATATATATATATATTTATTTATTTTAGGGGTCCGGGATCGGTGGTTAATCCAAAAGTCGGTTAATCAAGGGTCGGTTAGTCAAGGTTTTACTGTTCCATCTTCAAGCCTCGGGTCCGATACTCCTACTATCATTTTTAATTTTGACTTTGCTTAGTGGTCAAATACCTTTGGGTTTGACTTGACCTCGCTTGCAATCAGCCTATGAAACTCTTTTTCAGCCCTTCTACATTCTGACTTTGCTTGATTCCTGGATCTGGCATCAATCCTCCTGTCCTGTTCATTGCTTGTCCTAACCCACGTCTTGGGTATATATTTCTCGATCAAATAGTTCATTTTACTGGCTGTGATATTCAGGGTAGTGTCTACATTCTTATAGCTTAGTGAGTCAGGCCAGTGGATACCCCTCATCTCCTCCCTCATCCTATCATAATTTCCATTGTAATATTTTAATCTTGACCTGGTTTTGTCGCAAACCATCTAACAGTTAAATTTGAAGGACAACGTTACATGGTAGCTGGTGCCAACGGGGGCTAGGTGTTCCAGTTTGGCCACCATACCCTCCTCGTTTGTTATGAGGTCCAGTGGCTTGGGTGTTTGCTCCCCTCTGTAATGAGTCAGATCTTTAACATGTTGGAACATAAAATTATCTCTCAAAAGTTTCTACAGAAAGAGTAGCGGGGATATTTAAGAAATTTGGCTTGGTCTCATTTCTCCAGACAATATCGCCACAGTTAAAGTCCCCCATGACAAGGAGGTGGCTAGGGTTGAGCGCCGCTGCGTTGTCCTTAAGGCACTTAAAAATACAGTTACAAAATGTAAACCATATAAGATAATTAATAATATTTTAGGGTAAATTGATAATTTTTAGGGGATTTAGAAATAAATTTGGGGTAGTTGATTGTGTACCTTTCTGATTCTTCAGTGTAAATCTTATCACATATTTCATACACAAATTGATTTAAGATATTTCATAAAACTACCTATAGGCTTTATGCATTCATATGCTGTAAATGAAATATAAACGAATTTAGCTACCACATTATACAGGTATGCAGTATTCCAAAATCCGAAAATATCCCAAATATGAGATTCTTTCAGCCCCAAACATTTCAGATAAGGGATACCCAACCTGTAATGCTAATTGGTGTTTTCTAAAGATTTCTTACTAACCATTTATTTTAAAAATATAATCAGCAAAATAACATGATAAAACATCAACAGATAATATCAGCTTACTATGGCATTAGATCCTTTTCTATTTAATGAGTTTGGTGGTCTGGGAAATTAGGGTTAGAAGGTCTCCAGTTCTTGGCATTTTTACCAAATTTGTACACTAATCTTCTTCCAAGGACTGCTTCAAATATTTGGGTTTTATAATAATATCTGAAAAAAAATAAAATAAAATAAACACTGTAATAATAATAATAATGTACCGTATTGTTATTAGCTTACCACTGATGAAATTCTAGAAGCTTAATCAAGACCTTTCATGTGGAGAAAATGGTACTCTTTAACACCCCACCCCAACTATGGTGTACATCAACAGAAATGATCTCAAAAGGACTGTAATAGATGTCAAACCACACAATTTTTTTATGCCACTGCTTAACCCTCAACCCCTCAATGGCTTAAATGATTATCATCCAATAAGAAACATCCTGTGTGGGCAAGGTGACCTGTGAGATGGCAGGTTGCCATTGTTACACGTAATGAAACTATGAGAGATATGGAAAAATCTTTACAATACAATGATCTAATGTGGCTTATAAATAAACAAAATATTATATAAAGCTAAAAATAAGAAAAAAGAATAGCATGGGTGTGTATGTGTGAGAAGTGAACGTATGTGTGGAGGCACTGGGTAATAATTGACTCGCCAGCCCAGCCGCACCGCACTACCTTCCCCAATGTGAGGACACGACATATACATAACACAGCAGACAGACACATGTCTCTAAATCAGCTCGGTGACTGCCCGCCTGAACTGTGTTGCATTACCCAGAGGATGATGGTTTGAGTGTGAAAGGTGCTATTTTTGTTCATAAAATATGTTCTATTATTGTACTTCGTGATATGCTATGTATAAATTTTATTTATCATACCAACTTTGTTAATTTTTCACATGCAACTTAAAAAATTTGAAAATTAGGCTAACCACTAATTCGTTTAACTCTGAACCACAGCGGTTATATAGAACTTTGGGATGAGTGCAAAAACAGCATGAAAAGTGATTTGGGTAAAAAAAAAATTATATATATATAAAGATATATATATATATATATATATATATATATATATATATATATATATATATATATATATATATATATATATATATATATATATATATATATATATATATATATATATATATATATATATATATATATATATATATATATATATATATATATATATATATATATATATATAACTTAACTCTACATGTTACTCTTGTAAGATGATAATAAACCACATATCTAATCATATTTAGTAAACATGTCTAGCAAAATCTTATTCCTTTATCTCTGAGCAATACTCTATTTACCTAAAGCAGAACATCACCTTAACTCAAATCTACTTATGAAAATAATGTAATGGAAGTCAGTTGTATAATATACTGTAGGATGAAAAATAATTCATAATTGTGACAGATCCAGAGACTCTGAAAGCCTATGCTCTAAATTAAAATACTGTTCTGTACTTATAAAAATACAAATAAAATTATTTATATGTGAAACAAAATATTCACACTACTAACCTCATGGCACGGCTTAACTTCTCATAGTTCATGTTTTCATTCTGCTTGCGATCTCCCCACTTTTGAGCAACCTTTTCTGCCTGTACAAATCTGAACATTCCCTCTTCTGCATTCTCCCATCGTACTAATGAAGGGCACGTTGCTGGATCAAGAAGCAAGTTTCGTATGAACTCCCACAAACGACCAGTCTTCTTCTTCTTCTTTTTAAGTTCATTTTCTGCAAGATGAAATAATCTCCCACTGAAGTCTTTCTAGTACTGTATTCAAAATTTAAATTTTGATCTTAAATTTTGTGTATGACCACATAAAACAGCACTGAATTGACCTCTTTCCTGTTCTGGAAGATAGTATAGTATCTTGTAGGCAGGTGTAAGTGGGTTGCAGGTAATTTTGTTTTTGCAGCTCTGGTTGTGGAGGTGTGTGTGTGTGTGTAATTGTAAGGCTTCAGTTTACTGGTGAAAGTGAAAAGTAGGTCTCATAGGCATGGTGCCTGTTAGGGAGTGTGGATACAACACACTGATGGTGCCTGTTAGGGAGTGTGGATACAACACACTGATGGTGACTGTTAGGGAGTGTGGATACAACACACTGATGGTGCCTGTTAAGGAGTGTGGATACAACACACTGATGGTGACTGTTAGGGAGTGTGGATACAACACACTGATGGTGCCTGTTAAGGAGTGTGGATACAACACACTGATGGTGACTGTTAGGGAGTGTGGATACACATACCCTATAAGCTCCTGTTAGGAGGTGGATACAACACACTGATGGTGCCTGTTAAGGAGGTGGATACAACACAACTGATGGTGACTGTTAGGGAGTGTGGATACAAATACACTGATGGTGCCTGTTAAGGAGTGTGGATACAACACACCGATGGTGCCTGTTAAGGAGGTGGATACAACACACTGATGGTGCCTGTTATAAGGGTGTGGATACAAATACACCGATGGCAGACTGTTAGGAGTTTCGACATAAATACACCGATGGTGCCTGTTAAGGAGTGTGATACAACACACTATTAGTGACTGTTAGGAGTGTGGATGCACACCGATGGTGACTGCTAGAGCGTGACACAACACACTGATGGTGCTCTGTTTAGGAGACACACCATGGCACTGCTGAAAAATGCGGATACAACACAACGATGGTGCCTGTTAAGGTTTTATTACAAATGTACCTATTTGGTGACTGTTAGGTATGCATGCCAAATACACTGATGGTGCATTCATAGTAAGCGATACAACACACCGATGGTGACTGTTAGGAGTGTGGATACAAACACACTGATGGCATCTGTTAGGAGTGTGGATACAACACACTACGGTGCTCTGTTAGGGAGTGTGGGATGGTGACAACACACTGATGGTGCCTGTTGGTGCCTGTTAAGGAGTGTGGGAGTGTGGATACAACACACTGATGGTGACTGTTAGGGAGTGTGGATACAACACACTGATGGTGCCTGTTAAGGAGTGTGGATACAACACACTGATGGTGCCTGTTAGGGAGTGTGGATACAACACACTGATGGTGCCTGTTAGGGAGTGTGGATACAACACACTGATGGTGACTGTTAGGGAGTGTGGATACAACACACTGTATACCAAGCCTTTGGTACACAAGGTGGCAGCATGGCCAGTACTGCACTCAACCTCATTCACTTTCCAAAGTTGCAAACTTAGGTACCCATTTACAGGTGGGTGAACTGGGAGCGCCCAGGAATTCAACCACCGACCTCTGGAACAGGAGGTGAGTGCTGTATCCACTCAACTGCAGTGCTCAGTTTAGTGGTCATTCAACTGCATCACTCAGTTTAGTGGTCACTCAACTGCAGTGCTCAGTTTAGTGGTCATTCAACTGCATCACTCAGTTTAGTGGTCACTCAACTGCAGTGCTCAGTTTAGTGGTCACTCAACTGCAGCACTCAGTTTAGTGGTCACTCAACTGTAGTGCTCAGTTTAGTGGTCACTCAACTGCAGCACTCAGTTTAGTGGGCACTCAACTGCAGTGCTCAGTTTAGTGGTCACTCAACTGCAGCACTCAGTTTAGTGGTCACTCAACTGCAGCACTCAGTTTAGCGGTCACTCAACTGTAATGCTCAGTTTAGTGGTACACACATATTAAGTAGAAGTGCTTACAAAAATCATGCAGTATTTATTATTAGATATTACAATTTATTTTACCTTATTTCTCCACAACAAAGTAGTGTGAAAACTTAAAAAAAATAAGGTGAACTAAGTATACAGGATATACAGAACCTATAACTGCTGAGGTCCCTGTGAACTATAAATTATTGTAAAATCATAGGGATAAATTAGATTTAATTTGGTTGGGTTCATCTGTGTAAATAAATAAATGGTTTACACTTACCATGTTTACAGGAACCCCCACACTCTTAGCATGCCTACTGCATCTTATTTTCATAATTTATCACTTTTATATTGTTCTGAAAAGGTGAATTTGTTCCAAGAGATAATGAATGCTGTGATTTTTGCAAGAAAATTATGCTTTAGTGCTGTGCTTCACTACTTTGAACGAAAATTGATCTCAGGATTTTGAATATAGAAATGTTTCACGGTTTCAAAATGGGATGGGCAAAGAGGGAGTTAAAAGAAAAAATCAAGCACTCTGTCCAAAAGTGCTATATTTACAACAACATAGTGCATAGAGCTACTGGTGTCCTCTTTCTGTCTATATTCTGGTTTGTTTTAAAATTGAGAAATGCAAAACCATCTGTTATCAAGCATTCCTTGGACAATCCCACATCACAATCTGTCAAAAAGGATGGATAATTTAAATTAGGTTCAGGATTAGTTTCTTGTTATGAATCCAAGGCAGAATTTGGTCTCTCTTTTAAGCACATCTATACAGTAATATTCCCGTTAGCGGAACAATTGGTACAGAGGTCTCTCGGGGATGAGAAATTTCCGGGTAACAAGACAACTCTCAAACCCGGAAAAAATCCCAAGGATTGGAATTTTTCCGGGTAACGGGAAATGTTTCCGAGACTCTAGACTGCGCATGACGCACAGACACTATCGCACATCTCTGGAATGTTTCTGGGGAAAGTTTTCATAAAGTCTAAACTACGCATCTCATCATCTCCTCTCACACAGAAAAACAATCTCCCATTACATTTAGACTGCAGCCACAAGCAAAAATATTTATGGGTAGCAAAAAGTGTACAAACTTTTATTAACCTCTGTTCTAATTGTGTTTAGAGAAATGAATTTGACTCCATAATGATCCTTAATAAATATTTCAACGCGATATAATGATGGAGACCCGTTCTTTTATGAAAAAAAACGTAAGAAATGTTTATACCGGAGTCTATAAAATTATTTCTAATTAAGTTAAAAACCCTTTTTTTAACCCCCAAAATCCTGAATATTTTAACTAAAAGTTTGGTTAAATAAAAAAAATCTATATAATAAAACAGGCCATCAATTGAAGGTATTTTCGAGGAGCGAGGCCGACAGCAAATATACTGTATTTACAACTAGCAAGAAAGTGTACAAACTTTTATTCACAACTTCTGTTCGATTTGCATTAGTGATGAATTTGGTACTATAATAATCCCGTAATTTTCTGGGAAACTGAAAAATTTTCTTGGACGTTCCAGAATGATGCATTTTATCATCTCTCAAACCCGGGAAAAAATCCCCCCACCCCCAGAATTTTCCAGGTACTGGAAAAGTTTCCTTGGAATTTTTCAGAAAATGTGCCCCTCGGAAAATTTAAATTGCGGCTATCGGAGAGTTCCGTGTTTGAGGAATTCCGGCTAACGGAGATATTACTTATATATACACTGGACCTCCGCTTTATGCCCATTCACTCTATGTGAATTCACGGTTTATGCAGTGACTATTTCTACCCACAATTAATTTTATGCAAAAAAGATTCCCTATTACTGTATGTGTTCTGTAGAAGTTATGGCACACTAGTTTTATATTACATTATATTATCTTTATTTCTAAGCCACATTAGAGTAGATTTTTCTACAACTTTCTACATTAATGTTCCAGAAATGGTTGTGAAATATGCACAGTGTGTGTGTTTGTGTTTACTGCGCTGTAGTATGTGATACGCCTCTTTACTGTTGGTGCGACTCAGGTGCATCCTCTTGCACTTCATGACATTGAATCTTAACAGTCATTTCTTTGACCATTCTTGAAGCTCATAGAGATCTTTCCACAGCTCTTCACATCTGTTTGGTTCTTAATTTCCCTAAATAACTTGGCATCATCCACAAACATTTGTATGGAGGAGTGTATAGCTTCTGGCATGTCATTAATGAAGCAAACCAACAATAACTGGCCATAACATTGCCCTGTGGTACCCTGCTTGTCATAGGTACACATGATGATTTCGTACCATTAATCACCACACACTGTTTGCGGTCATGCAGAAAGTCTCTGATCCACGCTAGGACATTTCCCCGAATCCCATACCCTTCCAATTTAATTCTCGACCTTTCATGGGGTACGCTGTCGAAAGCCCCGACAAAATCTAGGTATACCGTATATTGTTAATATATCCGCCTTGCTCTAGAATTTGAGTCCAAACATCAAGGATCTTAAGTTATTGTGTTAAGAAGGAACATTCCTGCATAAAACCGTGTTGGCAGTCCTTTACAAGGTTGTTTCGTAGTACAGTAGATGTTACATTATGGCATCTTCTTACGCTGCTCTCTAGTACTTTACACAATATGCTGGTCAGGCTCACTGGTCTATAATTATCTGTGGAGTGATGATCGCCCTTCTTGAATACAGAAGCCACATAAGCCATTTTCCAGTCGTCAGGCACCTTTTGCTCTCCAGATATTTCCTGAACAGGATCTTAAGGGGCTCCACAAGCTTGTTACACAGTTCTCTTTAACACTCTGGGGTGTACCATCTCTGGGCCGGGACTCTTGTGAATCACTAGCTTTGATTTTAACATAGGAAATTTTATTTCATTTAAATATAAGATAAAAGATCACTATAAAAAAAAAATCAGGAGCTACAAAACAAATGAAAATGGAGGTAATTCCAAGGTAATTCAGTTTTGGGTTATTTTAGACCTGTCACTAATGCTTAAAAATTAATTATCCAACACTTAGTCCTCTCCTCTCCCCTCCCAGGTCTAGAAGTTTGGATGACTCCATTATCAAATATTGCTAAGTATTTAGATGCCACTTATGAGGATGTCATGACTGTAAATGTAATGTTATAGTAGGAACAATGTTAGTCTCAGTTATCAGACCAAGTTCTAAGTAGTTACTTAACTCCTTTTGTGTAAAGATATTGTTCTTCATACATAAACATAACACAAGATGATCAAAGAGAACCCGACATGAGAGTTAAACCTTACCTGGTTTGCGGGGCCGGCCAGGTCCTCGTTTTTTGGGAGGTTCTGGTCTGGGTTCCTCTTCGCTGTTGCTATGGTCTGAAAAAAATTAATGATCTCTACAGTAATAATTAAGGCAAGATGTTATTAACGATAATTTATTTTCATATTAAACATAAGTTTCCTTAATAGAGTTCAGATATACTGTACACCCATTAAAAATTTTCCTACGTGCACAGTATAGCTTAAAGTTTTCATCACCATGTTTTGTCCCGAATAACAAAATGCATCCAGTATTTACAAAAATTACTTCATGTTTACCTCTCTTACACACAGTATCAGTATTTTTCACACAATTAATCTAACTACAGTATATTTATGGCTCCATTGTTCATCTTCCAACAGAGGTCACTTGTACTGTATATGTTTATTTTTTTGCCAATTCTTCTTTTACCCACACTACCCATTCATTCATAAATATTAATACCTGTACTACCTGTTGCTATTTCCTTAATTCTCTCACAGCCCTTGAACTCGCCTATTCTTCTTTCATATTTGATGTACAATAACACTTTTGAAATATGAGACCAATTCAACTAACTTATTTTTGTATCTTAAAAAAAATAAAACAATTTGTAGTCCAACTGCAGTTCCTCTCTCGCCTATTTATACAGATTCTATAATCTGGACCAAATAATGTGCATCCACTGCCTCATGTTTTTCTTTCATTCCATTTCCTCAAAACACATACAGTACTCTTTAATATTTCTTACAAATGGTACTGAACTACTGTATTAAACTTGTACATATGTTTCTAACTCTAGTTTATGTACAGCCAATTTTACCACTAAATTTGATAGGGTGGTCCTGTATGGGGTGGGATCAGACATGTTCCCTCTGACAAAGTGTCTAGACTGCAGAAATATTACACAGTATGGCAACCCAGGTGATTGGAAGAGCCTTGTGATGTGATACTCAGGGGTGGCCTGTCTGAGAGTGAAACAGGTGGTCCATTTTTTTTCAGTTTAATTTTTTTTTATGATTAACTAAACTATATGCATTTTTGTTTTGCCATAAACTTGTCAAAATAATGATAGTTGGTTGTTATAGAATGTGCATATATAGACTGGGGTACTGTACAAGGATATAAGTGTATTAGTTTATGTTTGGAGATACAGAAGCGAACATTACAACGTGGCGTCTGGTCTCCCATACAAGAAACAACAAAGCTCGAGTGTCTGATGGTTCCAGAAATTGTTTATCAAATTTTAAATAAACATTATTGCTATTTTGTAGGCTGGCATATTTTTATCCCTTAATTTTTATTCAAAATTGCTTCTCGTGTATATATATATACAGTGAACCCTCACTTTACGCGGTTAATTCAACCCACGGTGGCCCGCGTAAAGTGAACAACATAACATATGGGATTAATTGAAACAGAGACCGGGCCGACCCCCAAACTCCACTTTTTCAGACACAATACCTACGTTGTAGTAAAAATAACTTCTTAATTTTATGATGGTATGCACACACAATTAATAATTAAGAGAAATATCAATAATATTAGGTTTTATAACACTTACATTAGTAGAAAAGATGGCTGGGCACACGGGATGGGCGGTTGGTTCCGAGGCAGAGGGATTTGGCCTCACCTGTATCACTTGTATCAATTGTATCACTATCCACCACAGAGGCTTGCAGGGCCTCTTTGTCAAACCCTCAAAGTCCATATCCTCACTATCATTATCACTATACACACATGATGAAGCCTTAACCTTAATCAAACAACTTAGAATATTACGTTAACTCTGTTTAATGTTTAATTATCTATATCAATTTTAATTTTCTGCTACACTAGCATTGTAGTTTGGCCAAGGAAAAATCTCACAACAACTTAGTTAGTGTTTGGTTAGTTTTGCCATACAATTGAAGCAATTGCATTCTGCAAGCATGACAATGGAGGAACAGTTAAAAGAAAGCATGCTTACAACAAAGCAAGGAGGGCAAAGTGCAGTGGCTATGATATCTATTTATGGTTCTTTGAGAATATGTGATACACCATAGCTAATAATATAATCCTATGAAATATAACATTAATGAGAGTAGTAGTAATTTGGGTCATCCTTTCTCAAAATAGAACCCAAACCCAATTAATGCAAGTCAATTGGCAATGTTGCTCATATATGGTGCATAAAAAGACACAAGTTGCCTTAGAAATCTTGGTACAGTAATATCTCCGTAAGCCAGAATCCCTCAAAGAAGGATCTCTCCAACAGCTGGAATTTAAATTTTCTAAAAAAAATCCTTCCTAAAGCCTAAATTTTCTGGAAAATTCTTGCTTTGGGAATGATTTTCTGAGGGGCACATTTTTAAGAAAATTACGTGAAAATTTTCCCAATACCCGGAAAATTCTGGAGATGGGGGGGGGCAGTTTTGTCTGGGCTTGAGAGATGAAAATCAGGTGCATTTTCCGAAAATTCAGAGAAAATTTTTCCGGTTCCCGGAAAATTCCGGGGAGGGGGATTTTTTTTCCTGCTTTGAGAGTCATCTCGTTACCCGGAAATCTCTCCGTAAGTGCTCTGCACCAACTGTTCTGGCTAACGGAGATATCACTGTATTAACTTGGGACGAGAAGTTGTATGGCGTGCACACACACACAGTATCTGCCTAAAATGCTGAATTTTCTAATTATGATTTGTTAATACAGTATGTGGTACTGTACAATATATTTAGTAATTCCCATACGTTGCACAAATTTGCCATTAAAAAAAATCAAGAGAAATATAACCGAAGATACAGTACAGTACTGTCTTTTTTTATTATGATTCACATTATCACCTACCTTTAATGGTCAGCCCCCCCCCCCCAAAAAAAAAGAAAATAAAAATAAATAAATAAATACCATGTAAATAAAAAAAAATCACACCTGTAAAGAAAAAACATTAATCCTTCTATTGAAAGCTAATATTTTTTATAAAAATGAAACAGTGTCTGTACATTCAGTACAATACTAGGAACTGAACTCTTACCTTACCCCCAGTTTGGTACAGTACAGAAAGAAACCATGCCAAATGCTTTGGATTATTGTTAAAGTATAAAATAATTCTAAACTTACAACGGAACAACAACTCAAAACTCTCGACTGCTTTTATATTTACAATGAAATGTCTAACTGATATGCCTTGTAGGAACAATTGGTCAACTGATAATTTTTCAAGAAGATGAAGTTGTTGAACTTTCTTGTCAGCCAGTATGCAAAAATTAGGTGATACTAAAAGCTCCAAACGATATGGGTACAAGTATTTCAACTGCAGTAAATGATAATAATACAGTACCCAGTATACAATACTGTACAGGCATTCTGTACATTAGCTAATTTTTTATTACTTCATGAAGATGGGACCACACATTTTTTTTTTTCAATACTGTACTGTATGGTTTGAGGACATCATATCAAAAGGATTGAGAACTGAAATGCCCCAAGCGGCTAACGAGCCGATCAGTGGTGAAGAGGATAAAAGTAAAAAGTAAACACACACTTGAAGTATGTTATGGTGGAAAATACCTATGAATACTCTTTAAATTATTTTGTGGGAACAATGTAAAATCAGTATTCAAGCTCTAAGTATCCACTACCAGTACACAAAGTGTTTGCACAAAGGGGTTCAGCAGCTGAAGGGACATAGCACTAGCCTCCTAATAGTTGCTTGTTTGATCCCAGGGCATCCCTGTCCATTCAGCTGTAACCGAGTACAGTACTGTACATGACTTTACAGTTAGGGAAGTAAAAGCAACAGAATGTAGTGCTGGCCACTCTTACTCTAATGTACTAGAGGCTTAGTACAGGTCTGTATTAAGTGTGTTGTATCAACAATGCCTCTAATGGGTAGTTAAGCATAAGGGACCCATTTTCACTTTCACTTTTTTCTCTTTGCCACTGACCAGCTCGTTAGCAAACAAATTGAAAGATTAGTAGTAAAGGGCACTGTTTACAATCAACACTAATAAACTCCTGAATGCACCTTTATGTTATTCTCTCTTAAACAATATTATACAAAATTGTAAATATGATCAAACTTACATCTTCTCTCATACTGTATATATTGTATACTGTAATCAAGTTATTAATAATAAAGTCAATACTTTACTGTACTGTACAAACAAAAATATAGAACAATATAGTAATGATTTTTAATTTGTGCTAAGCCCCAATAATCCCGTAATGTTAATATAAAATACTATAACATCGGTCACGTGCATATCTCTCGCCAATATGTCAAGGGTTTGAATCCTGCTTGACTCAGACACATGTGAGAAGGGTGTTATCCAGTGTTACCCTACCAAACATCACAGATTTCCAGGACTGGTTTCCTCCTGTACTAATACTGAATAGAATTACTGCCTGAGCAACTAATAGGCTGATAAGTGATTAAAAAATAAATAAAATAAAAAATAAAAAAATAGTGGCAGGAAGGCATCAACACAACTCTCTAACTTAACAATCATTTGTCTCCTTCCTGTGTGGCTTGAATGGAGAAGTAAAAATAAGAAAGTAGTCACTTTCTCATGAAGCGTACAGTCAGCCACATGGCAACTCAGGTGATCTGATCTACAGTATGATAATACATTTTACTCTTATTGCCAGTGTATATTTGTTAACGATTATTTTCCAGGTTTCTGTATAAAAAAATGTCCAAAGAGCCAACACTGCAACACTTCGTTATCCAGAAAGATTAGAATACCTGCAACTGCCTAGCTTATACTACAGATGGACAAGGGGTGACCTAATTGAGGTTTATAAACATTTCAGAGGGCACTACTCAGTCGAATGCTCATACCTGGAGCTGGTGGATGCTCGCCCCACAAAGGGTCACAGCTCAAGGTTGAAGAACCCAGAGATCCAGAAAACTGTGAGAGCAAACCTTTTCAGTGAGAATTGCGAACTCGTGGAATAATCTGTCAGAGAGTATTGTGATGGCACCGAGTGCGAGTTCTTACAAGACCAGACTTGACCAACACTGCATCAGGTTCAGATACATTCATGAACCAGTGCATGCCCAGTACTTGCCAACAGTATGCAACAGAGATGTGACTGACCACCCAAGTGGCTACCGAGCTGATTAGTGAGGAAGAGGATAAAAGTAAATAAGTAAAAACTTACACTCCAGTTTTGAACATATGGAGGTGGATTGGGAAATCCTTATCTGCCATTTAAGGGTTAAAAGAATTATAGGGTAACAACACTCATCTGTACAACCAACTTAAAATTTGTGATGCAGTATTTACTATAAGTAAAGGTCTACTGGAAATTAATCACATGGATTAGGTGGTACTTACTCTGTGTGTGTGTGTGTGTGTGTGTGTGTGTGTGTGTGTGTGTGTGTGTGTGTGTGTGTGTGTGCATTACTTCATACAGTATTTTGAAACCAGGTATACTGTCTGTAAAGTCTTTCCACACTTGTCTTGCACCGCTCCTCTTTTATTTCCCTTCTTTTTCTGAAGCTCCAGTACTTGTACTCACATATCCACACCACATACAGTATAAATGGGAGAGGAACACAAAATATGCATTCATCAAAACAAGCATTATCAAATATGAGTTTAGCTACCTTGACCTTTAGTTATGACAATAGTACGTAACAAAAGACTAACCGGGATCTGATATAGTTTCTGCTACTCCACCATGTACGCTAGGGGGTGAGAGAGCACTTAGAGGTGGAAAGGACTTCCGTGCTGCTGAAGGTAAATTAATTGAAGAGGATAAATTTCTGCTGCCATCTTCGTATCTCAGTCCTCTGTGGTCTACAGTCTCAAAATGATATTCATATGGGGCAGAAGTTTCACACACAACTGGCGATTCTCTTGGAGCCAAATGTGATTGACGAATGCAAGTGTCTCCATTTAATTCAAATGGCGATGAAAATAGATGACTATTGGGAAAGTACTGTTGTTGTGATTCAACTGTTAAAAGAAAAAGACATTATTATTTTTTGTCCTGGAAGTAAAATACACACTGGCTATTTAGAAATAACATTTTTATGCCTGACACAGTAACTGCAATAATTAAAAATATCATTATAAAAAATGAGCTATTGACATTTGCCATTGAGGAAAATTGATACAGGATCTTAACATAAGATACAGTACAGGCATCCCCTGGGTTCCTGAAAATCTTTCAGTAATGCAAAACCATTTTTCACATACGAGATGCGTTCCCAAGGAAATTTTTCGAGGCCCCAAAATGTGACACAACCACATATGTGTATGAAATTAGATGGTTTTAACCACATACAATAGGTTATTCATGATGAACAAAACACTTGAACTTTACTTAATAGAAACGATGTCAAGTGCTGGAGGAGTTGGTGAGGTTGTGGGACCAGTTACTGGGAGTTACCTCCTTAAAGCATGGAATCTTTTATTACCACTGCTTTCACTTGAGCTTAATGTTTTTTTTCCACCCATCTTAAATAAGGGTACACAGTAACACAGATGCCTAACAGAACACAAACTGGGGAAGAATTCAAACTGAGTAGTGCCATTGATGTTGTGGCTGCTACCAGCTGAAGAGGCAGGAGAGCTGAGCAGACTCCACACAAAATAAATTGTATAATTTCGGTGGTTTTTCTGTATTACGATGTTTTCTTTTGAAAATCATAATAAATAAACCAAAATTCCATAAGGGCGAATAAAGTCCCATACAGACACATAACTGAACACAGGCTGGGGAAAGAATTCTAAGAGCAGGTCCATTTTGCAGTGATTGCTGGCAACTGTGAAGGGGAGCAGCCTTCCAACCGTTTTGTGGCCACCACAGATGTATTCACAAATATTTGTTTTACTATACATGTACACTACAGCATTTGTAAAGATTTTGATAAAAAATCGCATTATTTTTAACTAAGATTTTTTTTTTAAATTCCGTAAGGTCGAATTTGTTTTCCATAACCCGAAATTAATATCTAAATTTGTAAATTCCGTATGGACGAAATTACGTAACCAGAAATTCTGTAATCAGGGAGATGCCCGTACTGTAAATACTGTACAGTATTATGGCTTAAGAAGGTCCACTTTTTGGTTTACTTTACTATGCCATTAGCCCACAATAAGAACAGTGATCCCAAAAACAAGGCAGGTCAGATACCAAAAAGGGGTTGAGTTAATTCTATATTTGCAAAAGATCAAGTCAACTACTGATGAACAATGGAGGTGGGGAGAACTTAGACTTTTGTCAGATCCTACAAAATTGACTTTTTAACCCTTCACTATGGGGATGCCACTTTTAATGTTTTATTTGGGTAACACCAGATACAAAAAAATTCCTTGCAAATATACAGGTACAGTACGCATCAGTGCAATGAATAAAACACTGTATAAGACTTTGTTAATCGTTAGTCTTGGCCAGGTGTTCTAAATATTCCAAAAACTTTTGGATGCTAACTTAGGGACTCCCTTTCTGATAGTTCTTTACTCTACTTTATCCTCTTTGATCCCTGATCAACTCATTTGAGCTTGTCCAAGCATTAGCTTTATATTTCTGGCCAGGATATGAAAACTGAAAAACAAAAATGTTTGTAATAAAATACAGAGGAGGGATACCTTATCACAATGCATTTAAGTTAGCTCTCCCCTTTGCTCAAAAATACTAACAAAATTAAAAGATCACCAAGGAACAACTAATCAAAAAGTGACCCGACATCTTGGTGGGGGGCTGTGTTATGAATGTTCACCTGTACAACCGTGTTTTATCCTGTGCACTCTTCTGGCAGGACAGTAACTCCTGAGGCCGGTAATTGGAAGTCAATTTTGACAGAAATTATGGTATAAATTAATGTCTCTGGATGAACTGAACTGTCAATGCCAATATCTCGGTTGTTTTGACAGACCATTATCATTACAGGTGATTACATTAGCTGTTAATCTTTTAATGCTGTGTAAACTGACTTACTGTATACAAAACAATCAAATTATAACACCACTTTCACATCTACAATTAATTTAATTAATTTTCATGTGTTTGCTACTGATTCTTCTGTCTAATTGGACAAATTTAGTTTTACCCATTGATCAGTCTAAGCCAAGGGGTATTGTTATACTAATGAAATCTGTCTGCTTATCTGTGGTTAGCCTGAAGTATTTACAGTACAGTATATGGGTGAGTGTACTCTTTGACGCCACATGGTCATTACAGTATAGCTAACTTGCTGGCTAAGAGGTTTTTCAATATTATATGTTTTGTTTTTTTACTGATTATTGTACCATCAACATGAATGGAAGAAAACTTAATTTATTAGACAATCTTGAAAAAAAAATTCCTTCAGCATTAAAATATACTTCTGATGTTTAACAGAACAATGGAGTACAAGCAAAATTTTTTTTTAAATTCTGCTTTAAAAGAGAGAGAGAACACACACACACACACACACACACTAACTATAGGGCCATAAGCACCAAATGTGCAAATTTGAGATACATGTTTTCCAATTTTTTACTTTCAATTCTCTGTCAATTGGTAGAAATATTTACATCCACAGCTTACTCAGAGCCTGTGAGAGCTAGGCTTGAAAAATACCCCCCCCCCCCACAGACCGGCTATAAATTGAGAAAATCGGAAAAGCAGACATCAAAATGGTGTTCAATGATTTTTGGAAACCAGGCAAATACATTCTGCAGAATGCCCATCTCCACAAGGCAGAGCACTTGCACCCTTTCTATGCCAGAGGTCATGTATTACATGTAATTTTTAATTGCCAATAATCTCAAAACGTCAAATTGGCATTTACTCTCCTGCTTTAGACAACGCCTCGTATACAGTGGTCCCTCGGTTAACGAGCGCCTCGGTTAACTAGATTTCGGTTAACGAGCTGCCTCCCATAAGATTCTTAAATTCGGTTAACGAGCAATCCCTCGATTAACGAGTTTTTTACGAGCCGACTTCAACATGTTTTTGCTTGCATTTGGCGGTCCACCAGCTGTAGTATTAGTCCGCCAATACAGTAATCGGTTTTAGGGCTTAAATTCCTTACTATTTTAGTAAATATCAAGAAGTTTATACTATTCAATAATTTTAAAAGTTTAATATTAACTTTTTTAGTCATTTTAACAATTATTGAACATAATTGAAGGTAAAGAAACTAGTTTCTGGCGTGCCATCCAGCCTGTTAACACACCAGACAGGCGTTAGTCTCTCTCTGTTTTCAGTGGAGGTAACATCTTGCTTGAGACTCTCTTCAACTAAACGCTTTTTTTCTGTGTTTCCAAGCAAATTATTGGTCATTTTGAAATATATTTTACATATTGACAATATATAATGCAGTGCAGTGTTGATTTAAAGAAAATTATCTTGAAATACACCAAGAGAACTAAAATTTTATGGGTGAAATGGCGCCATGGGGTGGCTTCTCTTCCACCCCAATGCCTTCTCTTCTCCCTTCTCCTCCACCCCCATTCTAATTCCCATCATCATCATCATCATCCAGGAGCCTTCTACATACACACCTCAAAGTAAGTGTACTTTTCTACCTTTTTGTTGAATTTAGACAATTTTCGGTGAGCTGGAACCAATTACCCAAAACCCATTGAAACAGTGGTTTCGGTTAATGAGTTTTTCGGTTAACGAGCAACCTGCTGGAACGGATTGTGCTCGTTAACCAAGGGACCACTGTATATGAAATGTTGCCAGCAAATTTTAATCTTATGTACCATTCTAGATCAAATGGAAGCACTTTAAGTTTGTAAGAAAGTCAACTTTTTCAATAATCATTTTTCACAGTATACAGTACTGTAATACAATCACTGTAATATACTGTTGTAGAGGGATAGTTTGTTTTTGTTTAGGAAATCTGTCTCTTTAAATGCTTAAAGGTATTTGTAGTGGTGATCAAGGAAATCAAATACTCTAATCTAAATGCACAAGTAATGTTGCAATTATTAACTTACCCTTCAACTGATTCATCTCCTCTTTTGCCTTGTAATCCAAGAAATATCTGTATATTCGGTCTCCATAGTTTTTAGAAAATTGTTTGAAGCCATCTTCATCTAACTGTAGAAGATTTAAACCAGTAGAACCACTTAATTCCGCAAAATTTATATCTAAAATTTCACACTTGAGTTCTTCCCAAGCAGTGAACATAAAGTCCACAACATCTTGGTAAGTCCACCTAGAGATTGGTTTATTCTGATATTCCTCGTCCTCTGAAAAAGAACTAAATAATTACCCACCTATCTAAAACTATGAAGCAGTTTTTTGTATGCTTTAAGCAAGAAGGCATAAGCAGATCTCTAAATAACATGTTTCTTGTTTATCTCCACAGATGCTAGTTGGAGAAAAGCAAAAATTAGGATATATGTATATACGTATATATATATATATATATATATATACAGTATATATATACAGTATATATATACAGTACAGTATATATATATATATATATATATATATATATATATATATATATATATATATATATATATATATATATATATATATATATATATATATATATAGATATAGATATAGATATAGATATAGATATAGATAGAGAGAGAGAGAGACCACTGACACAAGAAGGAAAATTTAAATAAAGTTCTTTTTGAAATAGAGGGCAGTAAACCTAAGGAACAGTCTATCAGTTCAAGGAAGAACCACACTGGACTTCGAAATAGTCCTGACAAAAAACTATCAAGAACACTGGGAGATCCTATAAAGGCCATAGGTCTCCTTCCCAGTCTTGGCCACCTCTAGATGGGCTGGCTGTTATGTAAATCAGGTAGGTACCAGAAATAAATTTAAATTCGGCACAATGGATTGTCAGCCTAACATGACAACCACTCAATCAACGTGCCAGGACCCATCTAAAGCAACTACCGGTAACCTGATATTTCCACTATTTCTACATGCGTACATGTTTATGATTTACCATCCAATTGTAAATGTCATTCAGTTTGAAATGCATGAAAGCAAGCCTGTTATCTAGAATGCTTTTTTGCCATTCGGTTTGAAATGCATCAAAGCATGCGTTTTGTCTAAAATAGAATTTCTCAATATACGTTGCATTTGCGTTAAGACATAATGGCTGATTTGTTAGAACTTAATAATGTAAAATATTGATAAGTTATAAGTTAAATTACCAGGGTTGCGATGATGCCAATTCAAATTCTTGTAGGATGCACTTGGAGTAATAACTGAGGAACTGGCTACATCCTGTGAACAAAAATACAAGTAGTTAGAACATTTTTTTTTTATCCCCTAGCCATTGGGTCATTTCCATAATATATATATATATATATATATATATATATATATATATATATATATATATATATATATATATATATATATATATATATATATATATATATATATATATATATATATATATATATATATATATATATATACTGTATATATATATGTGTGTGTGTGTGTGTATGTGTGTGTCCAACCTTTTTATGCTTGATTTCTATCATATTTTCTGAATCCTCATTATCCAATGCTGTGAATTTTGTCTATTATATTTACAATATTACTAATAAATACATTTTCATCATTCTGTACTACAAAAGAGCCTCATTGTATCACAGTGTTAAGGCCTCTGCAATGTTCATGATATCTGAACATGTGTTATTAGTCAACCATTTTGTTTATAGTACAGTAAATCCTCGCTTAACGTCATCCCGCTTAACGTTGTTTTGGTACTATGTCACTGAACTTTAGAGACCAAAATGTCGTTTAACGTCCCGGTGATCCGATACTACAGGTACGTGTTTTGTGTCGTCACGGACACATCACCCACTCTTGTCTGGCTGCGCTAAGCTCTCTCGGCTCGGTGCACTGCCCTCATTCGCGGAACATCACAGCATCCCCAAGCGACGCCAAGCCAGTCTCTGTTATGACTTCACAGCATTCGTGTGTACTTAAGTACTTTGCTCTAAAACTGTGCTCTAACCATTCAAAATGGCTTCCAAGTGCCCATCTAGTGCTACTGATGCTAGTCTAGTGAAGAGGCAATGTAAGACCATTACCCTTGCCACAAAAATGGATGTATTAACCCGATTTGAAAAAGGGGAACGTGCTGTGGACATAGCCTCTGTGCTTGGTCTAACCCCCACAACGGTGAGTATTATCTGGACCAACGCTGACAAGATTAAGGTTAGTGCTGAAGTAGTACTTCTCTGAGTGCCACTAAGATGACTCGTACTAGAAACACTGTGATAGAGAAGGTGGAAAAGAATCTGGTAATGTGGATGGAGGACCAGAATAATCAATGCAATGGCCCTGTGAGCCTTATGGTTATCCAGCATAAGGCAAGATCCTTGTTTGTCGACATAAAGGAAGAAGAGGGTGAAGGATCGAAGGAAAGGACCTTTATGGCCAGCTGTGGCTGGTTTCAACGATCTAAGCGTCGGTATAACTTCCACAACATAAAGACGACTGGTGAAGCTGCCAGTTCAGATACGGTTGCTGCCGAGACATTTCCGTCGTGAAGCTACGAGTTATCAATTCAAACCAGAGGTTATTTGTCTTTGATACACAGCCACCAGAGAATCCAATGACTGTAATGAATTAATTGTGATTTTAGTATTAAAGATCCTTATGAACGTTTCTCAAGAAACTTGCAAGAGGGGTGTGGTTATCTATGCTAGGAAAGATCTTAGAGCCAGCCAGGCGAGGGTACAGGGAGAGGATGTTTTTGAAGAGTCCAAGTGGTGTAAAATTAAACTCAATGGAGGGGACTTACTTATTGTCGAGTGTATCTACAGATCCCCAAACTGTGGCCTTAATAGACAATGCGGCAATGCTCAACCCTAGCCACCTCCTTATCATGGGGGACTTTAACTATGGCGATATCAACTGGAGAAACGAGTAGTTCACCCCAAATTACTTGAATTACCCTGCTACTCTTTTTATAGAAACTCAGAGATAATTTTCTGTTCCAACATGTTAGAGACCCGACACATTACAGAGGGGAACAAACACCCAAGCCACTAGACCTCATCATAACAAACGAGGAGGATATGGTGGATAAACTGGAACACCTTGCCCCAGTTGGCACCAGTCACCATATAGTGTTGCCATTCAGATTTAACTGTTACCTAGTTCAAGATAAGGCCAAGCCAAGGTGCAAATATTACAAGGGAAATTATAGCGGGATGAGGGAAGAGATGAGGGGTACCCTATCCACTGGCCTGACTCATTAAGGCACAAAAACGCAGAAACTACGCTGAATATAACGAGTAAAGTGACCCATTTGATCGATAAATATATACCCAAGACCAAACCCAGTGCCTCTAGGAATACGAGGGGATCCCTTCACATGAACCATGCGGCGGTCGACAAAGTTAAGAAGAAAACCCAGAAATTCAAGACGTGGGTTGGGTCAAACGATGAGCAGGACAGGAAGATGTATGCAAGAGCCAGAAACCAAGCAAAGATAGAATGTAGAAGGGATGAAAAGGAGTTCCAGAGGCTGGTTGCAAGCGAGGTCAAGTCAAACCCAAAGGCATTTTACCGCTATGCAAAGTCGAAATTAAAAACGAGAGTAAGAGTATCAGACCTGAGACTTGAAGATGGTAGTTACGCAGATTCTGATCAGGATAAAGCTGAGGCATTGAACAGCTTCTTTTCCTCGGTGTTCACAAGAGAGGATGCGATTAACCTTCCCGTGTTTGAGGACAGACGTTCAACACAGCACTGACCCACATTGTGTTCACAGAAGAGGGTATTAGAAATAAACTGTCATCACTAAAGGTCCCTGACATGGTGCATCCTAGATTGCTAAGAGAGTTGTGCAACGAGCTTACCGAGCCCCTGAAGATCCCGTTTTGTAAATGCCTGGATGAACAAAAGGTCCCCAGTGAATGGAAAGTGGCTTATGTGAGTCCTGTCTTCAAGAAGGGCGATAGTCACTCCACGAACAACTATAGACCGGTGAGCCTGACCAGCATAATATGTAAAGTACTTGAGAGTATTATCAGAGATGCCGCGTTGGAACATCTACTACGAAACAACCTTGTAAAGGATTGCCAACATGGTTTTATGCCGGGGCGCTCCTGCTTAACACAATTGCTCAAGGTATTGGATATTTGGACCCATAATCTGGAACGGGGTAGTAATATCGACAATATTTACCTAGATTTTGCCAAGGCTTTCGACAGTGTACTCCACGAAAGGATGAAAATCAAACTGGAAGGGTACGGAATTTGGGGAAATGTCATAGCGTGGATAGAAGACTTTCTACATGACCGCAAGCAGTGTGTGGTGATTAATGGCACGAAATCATCATCCGTACCTGTCACAAGCGGGTTATCATAGGGCAGTGTAATGGGCCCGCTGTTGTTTGTTTGTTTCATAAATGACATGCCTGACGTTGTACATTCCTCCATAAGAATGTTTGCCAATGTCGCCAAGTTATTTCGGGAAATCAAGAACCAAGCGGACTGTGAAGAGCTGCAGAAGGACCTCTGTGGGCTCCAAGAATGGTCAAAGAAATGGCTGCCGAGATTCAATGTCACGAAGATTAAGAGGATGCACCTTGGGCATACCAACGGTAAGGAGGTGTATCATATGTCCCAACGGGATGAAGAAACTGCGCTATTCGAGACTAAATGTGAGAAGAACCTAGGTGTGTATGTTGACAATGAGCTGAAGTTCCCTGGCCATTGCGAGAAGAACGTAAATCAGGCAAATAAATTATTGGGTCTTATAAGAAGGTCGTTCAGATATCTAGACGATATCGTAACGATCTTCAAGAGTGAAGTGCTTCCCCATCTGGAGTACTGTCACCCCGTTTGGTCCCCGAGATATGCTAGGGACTGTCAGTTGGTTGAAAATGTTCAAAGGAGGGCCACCAGACTGGTGCCTGCACTTCGGCACCTTAGCTACCCTGAGAGATTGGAGCGCCTGAACTTGCCTAGCTTATACTACAGACGGGTAAGGGGTGACCTAATTGAAGTGTATGAGCATCTCAGGGGGCACTACTCAGTCAAATGTCCTTACTTGGAGCTGGCAGATCCTCGCCCCACAAGGGGTCACAGCTCAAGATTGGAGAAGCCGCAAGTCCAGAAAACTGTGAGGGCAAATTTTTTCGGAGTGAGGGTTGTGAACTCTTGGAACAATCTACCAGAAAGTGTTGTGACGACACCCAGTGTGAGCTCTTTCAAGACCAGACTTAACCAACACTGGAGCAGGTTCAGGTACACTCAGGAGCCGGTGCATGCCCAGTACTTGCCAACAGTGCGTAACAGAGACGTGACTGATCGCCCAAGCGGCTAACGAGCCGATCATTTGGTGAAGAGGATAAAAGTAAAGTAAGTGGCTGTTCATATGGCTTTTGCCATATCTGTGGACATCAGTGGCTACATGATTATATAACTGTTACTAACTCGGACTAGATAATCAGTGAGACTGTCCCAACAGTGGGTATCTAAACTTTGGACAACTACCGTAGGTTATCTAGTCACTGACATTGATGACATACAAACTGTGTACTGTAATGTAAATTTATAACATACCTGGGGAAACTTAGGGTACACCTGTGAGATTTCTGATGGCATCCTCCGGTTCTGACTCCCTGTAGAAAGAAAAAAGAAAACATCAATTTGTTGTTCAGACTTCATATGATCATAATGTTATGCCGAGGCATAATTTTTTATGATAAATTTGTAAACTAGGTGTTTTGATTGTTTTCTGTCCCATGCGGCAGTTATTTTGGCAAATGCAGTGAAATTTTCGTGTGTATATTGGTGTATTAATTATGTACGAATATTCTAGAATGTATTGCATCTTTTTTTTATGATTTACTAATTATTGAAAGCCTCAGTCAGAGTAGAACGTTCTAGAATCTCCCAGGCATGTCCGAGTGATTCTGGGATGTTTGAGAAGCGTCTGACGAGGTGTATATAAACAGCAGTAAGCAGGCTAGGAGTCCCCTGAACCTCCTTCCCCCCTGTCATTAGCATTTAAGTCAAGTCAAGTCAAGCTAGGAGTCAGTCGATCGCTTCTGTTCATAGTGTAAAGAATAAACCTAGCAGAGCACCTGAAGACAATTGTTGTGCAAGTATTGTGGAATTGTTGTGATTAATATACAGTGAGAAGACTAAGGAGTACACTGGTAGTGTGCCGACTATATATTTGAAGTGTGGAGTCAAGCTGTGAAGCCATTACCCTGTTAACAATGTTGTGAAGAATAAGTACTTATTAAAGAAGACTACAGTGCATGTGTGTGTGTGTGACCTGGTTTAAATCTACCTGTCTGTTGTTTGTCTGTACACTGATACCGATCATCGAGAAATTACCGGAGACTGGCGGGACAGCCAGTGGTAATTCGACGTCACTGGTGAGATATCTACTGCTTCTGTACAGACGCCCCTGGCCGCTGGTAACCAGTGGTGAAAGGAAGGTCGTAACAAATTATTTTTTTTATGTATGCACAGTATTGATACTGTGTGTTAACTTTGCTTGGGAAGTATTAAAAAAGTACCATGACATAAATCAGAAAACTTTTCATGCCCTGCCTTGTACTTCCACGAAAAGCATTAAATATATATTGGTATAGTATAAAATTATCATATGAGTGACATACGCAATGATACCTGCATACCAATTTAATAAATTAACCAGCAGCCCTTACTAGTACACAACTTGAATTATCTGCACATGGAGCTATGTGATATGGTCCACTTCTCACCGTCCTCAAGGCAACCATACATATACACTGGAACCCCTTCCAACTGTATGGGGACTTACAGTATGTTGGAAAATACAGAGCATAATTTTTTTTTTAATGTTTCATAAATGAATGGAATACATTAATTGATTCACAAACATTTAGTTATGAGAAACATGTACAGTCAGCCAAAGATGCACTGATCCCACCCTGGGTCTCATGTTCGCAATTTTACCTGGCAATACTTGGTAAAGGAAGGCTGTATGTAAACGTGATTGTGATTGGTGGATCTATCACTGTCAGGATAATTATTAAACAAACCAAAGGCAGAATTTGTATAATAAACTATTCATTGTTACTTAAGGTCATGAGAAGTTTCCAAATGTTACGAAAAACATATTAATAACAGAGAGAACGACCGACCGTTGCATGACTGAAATTTCACCCTATAAAAGATTTATTTTCACCTGAACTATTGCCAGAACTGTATGACAACCTCGTCTACCTTCCGTAGGCGACATTCAAACAATTCCGTCGGCACATAATTTTATATGGAGTTAATATATTTATACTTGAATAATAACCTTAAGGCGGCACACTGGGCACTTTCCTCCAAACATGCTGCCCGTTTTGCCTAACGACCCAGAAAGCAGCAGGATTTTTTGCTGTTGAGAGAAAAGGACAACGGTTGGCGTGGAGCTTTGGGACACGCGCCAATAAAACATCCAGTGTGACACAAAACGTCTCTGTTTTGCTGGCCGGACCGTGTTTGCCAAACATGCTTGGAGAAAGTGTCTAATGTGCCTCCGCCTGTAGGTGTTACCTCACCAGCTATGATCAATGTTTTTACTGTTATCTAATTAAATACGTTTCATTAACCTTATTAATTTCAACCTCTTTACCTAATACATGATAAATTTGCCTTTATATAATGCAGTCGTCAGTAATTACCATATAATGAACAGAATTTCACGATAAAAAGTGTACAAAGCATCCAAACTTGGAAGTACAGGATGTCCATAAATGATTAAACTAAAACAGTACGCTCTCATGCTTTAATCAGGGTAATCATTTATGGACATCCTGTATATCTGACCGCATGAGACCAATTTTCGTAGGTACTGTATTGTAACTTGTAAGTAAGGAGACACCCGCGCATAGGCCATAAGTTACTAGCTGAGCTTGACATGATAAAATCTAACCCGTCAGTTAATGTAATAATGTTGCACGCACATCTTGTAACTCACCGAAAGACGAACTAAATATTAAGTACCATAACTGTGAAAGTACAAATTATTATGTATAAAACATGTGGGATCCTGAACGGCACACTCCATTTACATCACACTTATAGTATTTAGTTATAAAACAGTATTAATGAAACGATAAGTACAAACGAATACCAACTTACCAATTATTCCTCAAAGGTTAACTGCCCGCGAGACAAATTTAACACATCGCAACAGCACCACCGAGACTGAGGGTGGCAGAGAGGGGCTTGAACTTCCTGAAGGCTATCTCACGGGTGGATACCTAGTGTCTCTTTCGTATTTAATTCATAAATTGTCCACTACCACCATGCACTAAGGTCTATCCACAAACCTTTACATTAATCCAAGCCAATTATGCGAAACAAAGCACAGATCCTCACACGAGAGATGCCTAGCAATATTTACCTAGATTTTCCTTGTTCTATGATAATGTGAATCATGAGGTCTCAGTTAATTAATATTTACTAGCTTATTTACACATTGAATGCTCAACTATAATAATTATAAAATTATAGTAAATTTATATTAATTTATAGAATTCACTCGATTTCTTTTATTTTAGTTATAGAGCAGTCGTTATAAATTATAATATTCGCGACGTGGCAACCATGGTTATCTGTGACGTCACGTACAGCACAGCCAACACCGCGCCCGACGTTCGTTCCACACACACCTGACTCGCTGCTGATTTACTCACCAATGTACAACAAAGTAATAATGTAATGAAATTTGATAAACCACAAAATAATAATGCACAAGAAAAGAAGAAGAAAAATGAACTGCCCATGCCGTAGAAAGTACAATAATACACACATTTGAAGAAAAAAAGTATATTATAATTATGACAGAGTCTAAGTTCCACACAGATAGGCGTCTAGAATTATCAGTAGTAAATGTAAACAGTAGGGACAAAAATCAAGTTTCATTACCCTTTCTCTTAACCCACGAGAATAACGATAAAAAGTAGTAAAGTAATTAATATCCCCGTCAATGTTATGAAGTCGAACAGGGTCCATAATTCGAGTATTTAATCTTGAAAGGCGTTGATTATCAAATTCATCTTAGAAATAAATTCTTAATACGAAGTTGCATACCAAAATTTACTTGGATCAGTGAAAACTCTCAAAAGTTCAACATAAACATTTCTGTACAAAGGGAATCACGGAAGAATGATTAAACGGTAACTATATACTGTATTCCCCCCCCCCCCCATGTAAACCGGAAGCATTCAAATAATCATACCAAGAGCCAGGCATGTTACCAATCTGCTATCGTTGACGAAAAACTAATAGGATTCTTCCAAACTTGTTTTGTAACCAAACGCCAGACGACTTGCGTCAGTTTTTAAGATATTTGAGCACCAAATTGACAGCCCGCTCACCCAGTAAACACGTATTATCAAATTAAATGGGTTTTTAAAATTCGAAGTTACAAATTTATGTCCCTTAATGTTACTTCGTAATGAAACACAAAATGGAAGCTTGGAGAAGGAGGGTAAAAAGTGTCTGGACGAGGCAGTCCTCAAATGTATTTTGCCCAGAGTTCCGCTGAATCTGAGCCAGTGTACGGGTCCCACGGACGAAAATGGGCATTGCCTATTAATAAAAAAGGTGGGGGCATGCTCCCCCCCCATTAGTCCTTGATGAAGGAAACGCAGGAACATATTTCAACACACCTTCCAGCAGGTTAGTCTCCCATCGTTTCCTATTTTATGAATAAATTGAAATATGTGGAACAGTGAAAACTAATTTTATAAGTAATATTAAACCGATTTTAATATTTTAAAGTACAAATATATCCACACGTAAACACACACACAACAACTTTCCATCTGCAGTGAATACCGGAAAACACATTCTCTTCCCCACACTAGCAGGCTTTTGCATCTTACGCGACCGTAGTTTAAAAGAAATTTCGCCCACCAGCCTGCATTGGAAACTATTAAATTAAATTTTAATGGTACCAATCTGCTCTCAACTGAGACATCTGTTGGTTATGACAAGGCACTGTTAGAAATATTGGCAACATGTCCTTGATATGTTTACAAAATAACCGTACATTTCGTGTTGGGATGGAGGAAGGTTGCTTACATCTGTTAGGGAAGGGAATCAACATATCTCACCATTATAATCCATCGGATAGACGAGGTAGACAAGCTGTACATGGAGAGGATCAGTGTCATTGCCTAATACTCCTCCGCCATGCAATTCTTTAGGCGGGAACACCACTTGGGGCGAGTAACTGCTGGCTTCAGGCTGGTGCAGATCTCCAAGAACCTTTTCATCGCGCTGCATCACCTCCATACCATGTGTGGTGCTGGCGATATCGGTAGATTCCTGGTCCACTCCCAACATATTGTTGCCTTGATATGGAAGTGCTGTAAGACCCGGCGTCATGGTGCTTGCCTCAGTTTCCTTGTTCACTTGATCAAGCAGCTCCTGACTGACGAATTCATTCTTCCCTTGTTTTAATCCTCTGACTCTAGCACGTTTTGTAATTCCGCGTTGGTCGTCTTCCTTGTGGCGTTTCTTGGCCCGTGAACGGAAAATGGAAGCCCTCAAGGCCGTTAGCACGTCAGAGCGATTCGAACTAGATTCTTCGCTCTCTTGACTCTGATCATATATTGGTCTAACC